CACAGAGGGACAGGAACCTCCAGTGACGCTAAACTTGGCCTGCAGGAGAATTGTCCTCTCTCGCGCTCTCTCTTCTCCCCCCGCCACAGGACATGGTGGGTGACATCACTAATGATCACAACACCGCATGCCTGGGCAGTGATGCCAGTTGGGTGTGGCTGATACCATGACATTCCTCAATGCATTTTTTTTTTCCTTCTAGTGCTACCTACATTTGCAAAGATTTATTTCATTCCCGGACGGGCTGAAGCTGCTGTTAGGCCGTGGGGCTGCAGGGCAGTCGTGGGTCACGGTGCCCAGCGCCCACCGTCTGAGCCAGGTTCGCAAAGGGGCTCCGTTGCCAGGAAGCAATGCCAGGGAGCGGGTGCTGGGAGCGAGTCTATGGCTGGGCCGCCTAGATGCTACCGTAATACACCTAATAAATCACGTCAAGCGCCCGGCACATGGGGCCTTGACTGGAGTGCCTGGGTGCTACCCGATTACCCCTCATTAATAACGATATTACCAGGGTAACATTTCACCGCACAACTCCCATTGCAACGCTCTCGCCGAGCCCCTTTTCGCGCCTTGCTGGGATCTTGGCAAGCTCCAGGCCTGATCTGTGGGTGCCGGGCCTTTGGGACGCTTGGCCTAGTTGACGTATCCCCAGGGCCCCGTTTCACGCACACGTTTAAACCCCCCCCAAAGCTCACGGCACGTCCCAGGAGCGGGAAGTGAGGCACCTGGGGAAGTTGGTGCAGGATCGAGGTTCACCGGCCGATTTTTTGTTTTTAAACTAACAGAAACATCGAAAACTGTCAGGTATAAAACAAACAGCACCGAGCGCCGCTCCCACAGCACGTGACCGAGGGCGGGTGGGATCATTAACCCCATTTCACGGATGCAGAAGTTGAGGCACAGAACAAGAAGTGACCTGCCCAAAATGCTAGAACCAGGCCTCCTGGATACCAGGCCGTGCTTTACCACTAGGCCACACAGCCTCCCTGTTGCTCAGAACCTACACGGCCATGTTGTAATTATTCTACTCGGAATTGGGGTCGTCCCCCCGGCACCCCAACACCGCAGTTCCTTTTGCAGGCGTGGGCCTTGCCAGCTCAGACCCAGAGACCCTAGTCTGGCCTCCTGCATGTCCAGAACCCCGCCTGTGACAGACCCCGTCACTGACGTCCTCAGATCCTGGTTTCAAGACTCCAAGTTACAGAGAATCCACCATTGACACTAGTTGAAACCTGCAAGTGCCCCACGCTGCAGAGGAAGGCGAAAACCACCCAGGGTCTCTGCCAATCTGCCCGGGGCGGAAATTCCTTCCCAACCCCAAATCTGGTGATCAGTTAGACCCTGGGCATGTGGGTGAGACCCACCAGCCAGACACCCAGGAAAGAATTCTCTGTCGTAACTCAGAGCCCTCCCCAGCCAGTGTCCCGTCCCCGCCGGTGGAGATATTTGCTAGTAGTCACAGATCGGCTGCGTGCCATTGTGGGCAGTTCCATCAGACCGTCCCCTCCACAGACTTAGCAAGCTCAGTCGTGAAGCCAGTTAGGTTTTGTGCCCCCCGCTCCCCTTGGCAGGCCGCTCACTCCGGTTCCCCAGAGGGGGCTGCTCCGGTGCATAATGTCTAGTTCGCATTCGGCTCGCAGGAGCAGGTCAGGGCCCCGCTGACCCCAGGCAGCTCACAAGCGAAAGGCTACAGGGCCGAGGGTTTCATTTCAAGCTAACAAGAGGGGCTGGTTCTTTAAACCATCATGTCAAATATCTCCGGGGCCAGCGCGGCCTTTTCCCAGAGATCTGCCAGCCCACGCCAAGCGCCATGAGGCCCTGGCCCATGAATGGGGCTCCTGGGTGCTACCGTAATAGACCTAAATAATGTACAGCGCCTAGCACCAGGGGGCCCTGGCCCATGACTGGGGTTCTTAGGTACGTCTACCCTGCACACTAGAAGCTGGGCTCTGACTCAGGTTTGAGCCAAGCCCCACTTCCATCCACACACAAATCAGTCTGGCTCAGGTCAGCAAGTGCTCAGGACCCGGGTCCTAGGACCTGCTGGAGCAGGGGAGGGGGGTCAGAACCAAGTCCCACTGTGATTTAGGTCCCAGCCCCGGCGTTTTGGAGTGTGGGCGCAGACCCGAGACAGAGGCGTGGACGCAGCGGCGCGTCTGGGAGCCCCGGGGCCAGCGAGTGTTAATCCAGGCTGGCGATGCAGTGTGGAAGCACCGAATCCACGGAGCCGGGTTCCCAAGCAGTGCGGACATCCCAGGAGGCGCCAGGAGGGCAGAGAGAGGTAAGACATGGGCTCAGGACTCAGATGACCATTTACACAGCTGGGAGGGGGAGACCCCGGGCCCGTCTCCACATCCCTTGCTGCGCTGGTGCAGCTGCGGTGCGTGGCGAAGACGCTACTACCCCAGCGGGAGATCGGCACGGTGAATTCACCTCCGCGAGAGGCGGGAGCTGCGCTGCTCGGAGAAGCGCTCCCGCCACACAGCGCAGTCTACACTAGGTTCTCTAACTGCATCGCTCAGGGGTGTGTGGGCTAACAGGCGGGTTCTTACATCCTCCTCTAAAGCATCTGGTGCTGGCCCCTGTCAGAGACAGGACACTAGGTGGCCCTGGAGTGTGAGCTGAGTTCCTGTCCAGTCGAGATATTAGTTCTAGCTCGACCACAAGATATGGGCTGGGTGCAGGGACGGCAAGGTCCTTTGGCCTGGGCAAGGCAGGAGGTCAGATGGGATTATCTGGCCTTAAAAGTCTATGAAGCTATTAGTCACGGTACTTTTATGAAGCAACTAGAAACTCCCCGCCCGGATCAGAGCCTCATCAACATGGGCTGCCCAAAACAAAACAAAACAAAACACCAGCCACCAAGCCACTGGACCCCTTGAAATACGCAAAAATCAATCACTAACATGTCACAGCCCAAGAACTGGCCTAAATCGCAGAGTTCCCCGCAGAGCATTTCCACTCATTCGAGATGAGTAACTCAGACAGTCATCAAATTATGAGGCAAAAATTCCCCTAACTTCAGGGAAGACGTATTCTGACTCCCCGCGTCCCCGGCTGCGTTACAGACATCGGAGGCGGGGCTGTTTTGTGGCTGAGAACTGCCCATGTGGGGTGGACCATGCCCCACTGCATCCCACAATCCCAGATCCCGACTGGACACCCAGATCTACAAAAGCCCTGGACAACGCACTCACACCCAGCGGCTCCCCTGCAAACGCACACACCACTCCAATGGTGCGCCACAAACTCACCCCCCCCCACTGTCACACCCAGACTCACCAGTACGCCACACGCACGACCATCGCACGCACACCAACACAGACACACTAGAGCAAATTCACCAGCATGTCAACAAACTCACCGTCTCACACGTCAATACGGCAACTATGTCACAGGTGCACATCCAAACGCCGCTGCCCCAAATACATAGCCCGACACGCACCAGCAGTTACAGGGAGACAATCCGGGCGCACAAAGACAGACAGATGCAAAAAACACCCCAAACACGGGCCGACACCCCGTAAAGCCCCTCTGACAGAAAAGGCCAGGGCAAGTACACTGCGGACAACACACGCGCTGATCCCCCAGACTCGCACACACGAACCCGCCAACGACACACACGCTCCCCTGGAGAAAGTTCAGTGGCTTGGAAAGTGACAGATCTCACACACACAAAGGAATGATTTTACATGTGTACAGCTGGCTTCTCGCAGGCCTTCACTTTGCTCCCCAGCTCCTGCGTTTCTGGCATTCGCGGCCTGACTCGGCGGCGGACTCTGGGGGTGGGGGTGGGCGGTGGACACTCGGGGTGGGTGATGGGGCCAGTCAGTCATGGCTTCTGGCTGGCTGGTGCTGCAGACTCATCTCCAACGCTCAGGACGTTAATGTCATGGGGACAAGAGGAGGTGGGGGGATCCAAGTCATGGTCTGCAGAAGGGAGCCCCGAAAGGGGAGGGAGAGGTCTGGATTACAGAGCCATCCATCTGGGTGTAATCTGGGGTCCGGGGGGGGGTGTATTGGAGGCCCCACGGGTGCTGCATGGATCCCTGCTCCATGGGACAGAGAGACTCCAGCTGTTACCCCCGCGATAACAGGGCACAACGGTTCTGCCCCCCGGTGGCGCTGTGGGAGAAAGGGCTTGTGAAGGGCAGAGGGTCTCGCTGGGATTCAGAGACATGAGAATTCACCCGCCTGCCCCCGTGCGCCACTCTGCAGACAGGGAAACTGAGGCACAGAGGCTTGTCCCTCACAAGGTCACACCGCCAGCCAGTGGCAGAGCTGGGACTAAAACCAGGAGTCCTGCTCCCCCCTCCCCAGGCCCCACTGTGTTAACCCCCAGGCTACGCTCCCCTCCCAGAGCTGGGGAGAGAACCCAGGAGTCCTGGCTCCTAGCCCCCCTAACCACTAGACCATGCTCCCCTCCCAGAGCTGGGGAGAGAACCCAGGAGTCCTGGCTCCCAGCCCCCCTAACCACTAGACCATGCTCTCTTCCCAGAGCTGGGGAGAGAACCCAGGAGTCCTGGCTCCCAGCCACCCCCAGCTCTAACTCACTAGACCCCACTCCAAAATCCAAACCCAAAATCTAATCCCAGCAAGACCCTAAACCCCCTAACTCTGACCCCAACGCCAATAACACCCCCGTCGCGTTCTGCCTGCACGGGGGGGACACAGACACCCCCCCCCCAGGTAGCCCCAGAGCCAACCACAGTCGGAGGGAGGTGGGGAGCAGACGGGGTCCCCCCTCCCTTGGCACCCACGTGCCTCCGTCCCTGGGAATCTGGTGCCAGGCCTGGCCTGCCTGGGATATTCATCCACCAATCAACCCCCTCTCCTCGGAACACGGGGACCCCCCCCTGAACCCCGAAGTGGAGATCAGCCCCCCCCACCCCCACACCTCAGCCCACCCCACACTCCAGGGTGGGGGGCGCAGCCCAGCTCGGCCCGGGAGTGGTGGTGGGGGTGGGGCGGGGGGGGGGGCAGGACGCAGCCGCTTTTCCTACCTTCTTGCTGGTCTTATTGTAGCCAAATGTGGCGATCGCGGCTCGCGGCTGGACGGAAAGTAACATTTTCCTCCCTAATGTTACGGGCCTGGGAACGGGGCGGGGGGGGGCGCTGGAGGGGGGGGGCCGGGGCTGCTGGCTGACGTCACACCCAGGGAAGCCAGCCTGGAATCTAGGGCCGGGATGACAACTTTCCACTGGGTCCTAGCGCCCGCGGAGGGAGCGGCGCCCGAGGGAGGGGCCGCTTCTCCTCCCCCCCGCCCCGCCCCGTGGGGGGGGGTCCCAGGCCGGAAAGGGACCCACTGTGGCTGCTTCTAGTCTGACCTCCTGCACAGCACAGGCCCGGGGGGGGGGGGGTCCCCGAAATAATGCCGGCCCCGGGGGCAACCAGCCCAAAGAATCAGTAGCCGCTGGGCCGGGGGGGTGCCACGGTGGCTGGGGCGTTGCAGAAGGGGTGGGGGTCGGGGTGTTGCCCTGGTTTCGGCTTTAGGAGGTTCGCTGGGAGAAACCAGCGTCCGGAACCCCCCGCCGCCGCGCCAGGCGCTGCACGCACCCAGCAGCGGGAAGTCGGACCTTGCCCAGGCCTGGCGGCACCGTGCGAAGGCACAGGCTGGCATTCGGGGTGCTGGGCCCGACGTCCTGTCTCCGGCTGTCTGGCTCGCGCTACTCGGGGAACAGCCCCCCCAGGCAGGCCCAGACCCCCCCCCCCCGGGCAGGCCTCTCACCCCTGTTCCAGCCAGCCCCCCACGTGAGACCAGCCCCTTGCCCCCATTCCTGGCAGGCCTTGGGGCCAGCACTGACTAGCAGGGGAGAGTGCCCCCTACTGAGACCCCCACTCATCTCCCAGCCATGTCTGGGCAGGGCTGTCACCTGGGGCCTGGTGAGGGGTGGGTGGGTGCAGACCAGCACCCCCTGGTGGCCAACACTGCGGGGGTTAGACAGAGGGTAGCCCAGGCCTAACATCCCTGGGGGGAGGGGCATGGTCTCCAGCTGGGGGGATATTCCTGGCAGGAACGGGGTCACCCTGGGGCCACCCCCACCCTAGGAGCTGTGCGAGCCGGTCTCAGCGTCGCCCCCTCTGGGCTGGGTCGTGCCATGCTGCCCTTGCTGGGTGTTACCTTGTGTGTCTTTCACATGAGTCACCGAGGGATGGGGAGCTCTCTGGGGCCATGGGGCCCCCTGCCCACCCAGGCCCAGGCACCCAGAGACGTGGGGGGGACACACACACCCAGCTCAGGATGGGGACAGACTTAACCCTTCCCGTGCTGTGCGGCACACGGGAAGCTGGAGTCCCAGCCACGCACCCGGCTGTTCCCAGTCCAGAGCTCCCATACACCCCTTCCTCCCTCCCCCCCCATCTGGAGCAGGGGTTCCCTGCATTGCGGGGTCTGGATCCCTGACTGGGGCTGCTGGGCATGGTCAGAACACGCACTTGTGGGGCCTGGCCTGGAAAATCTGGCCCTGGCATCTCTCTGCAGCTGTGACGTCAGGATGGCCCAAGCTGAGAGGACTGGCTGGAGCGGGGGGGGGGTGCAGGGAGTGGGGCACGGGGCCTTTCCCCTAAGGGGTGCCAGCTCTGATCCGGCCCCAGGGTGGGCACTGGCTGGCTTGGGGGGAGGGAGCAGGGAATGGGACATGGGCCCTTTCCCCTCCAGGGTGGGCCGGCCCCAAGGCAGCTGGCCCAGGAGGTGCGGAATTGGGTGCCGATCACACTGAGATTCTGGGGGAACTGAGACAAATCAGCAGCCCCCTGCCCATCTTCACCCTGGAGCAAGCTGGTCCCCAGTCCACACCCATCTGTGCTCACTGGGAGATCCTGGGCGGGGGAGGCAGGCTGGGAGAGCCCCGGTTGTGGGGTGCAGAACAGAACACAAAGGGCTCCCCCCCAGAACAGGACACCCACCCCAGCTCCTTGCACCTGGAGGAGCTTTACGGGCTCGGGGTGAGGTTTCATGGGGCAGTTGATTCTAGGTATTTGGGGCTGGATGCCCCCCCCAGGGTCTCTCCTGCAGGTGGGGGGTCTCTGAGGTCACTGCAGGGTGGGCCAGCACCTGGAGGTGAGACAAGCACCACTCCAAGTAGAGGGGATGTGGAACCCAGCTCCAGGGCTGGAACAAACAAAGGGCCCAGCTGCGGATGCTGCTCTGGGGAGGGGGGGCAGGGAGCCCTGGGGAGGGAGCAGCCGGGTCCCAGGGGAGCTGAGCTGCAGCGAAGAGAGGCTATTAGAGCCAGATGCCTGGCAGGGTGAGCTGGGAAGGAGAGAGAGAAAAGTATGTAGGGATGGGAATAGATGGAGGGATAGACAGAAGGATTAGAGGGCTAGATGGAAAGCTTTTCCCCAAGGGCAGGGAATCAGCAACCCTTATCTGACAGATGAGGAAACTGAGGCATGGAGAGGACAGGGAGATTGGCTCCCCAAGCTCATCCAGTGACAGAAGGGTCATGATAATTAATGGAGATATCCTATCTCCTAGAGCTGGAAGTGACCCTGAAAGGTCATCAAGTCCAGCCCCTTGCCTTCACTCGCAGGACCAAGTACTGATTTTGCCCCAGATCCCTAAGTGGCCCCCTCAAGGATTGAACTCACAACCCTGGGATTAGCAGGCCAATGCTCAAACCACTGAACTATCCCTCCTCCCCCCTCTGCTCTAAGCACTAGGTCACAGGATAGAACAAGAAGCAATGGCTTTAAACTGCAGCAAGGGAGGTCTAGGTTGGACATTAGGAAAAAGTTCCTAACTGTCAGGGTGGTTAAACACTGGAATAAATTGCCTAGGGAGGTTGTGGAATCTCCATCTCTGGAGATATTTAAGAGTAGGTTAGATAAATGTCTATCCGGGATGGTCTAGACAGTATTTGGTCCTGCCATGCGGGCAGGGGACTGGACTCGATGACCTCTCGAGGTCCCTTCCAGTCCTAGAATCTATGAATCTCCCCACTATGGGGGTGACAGCCGCCGCCTCCTCTCGCTCTGGGGAGTTTGGGGGGCCCGGGCCTAGGACCAGCCCCAGTTAGTCACAGACGCCTCCTGCAGGGTAACCAGTCTCCAGCCCAGGCCACCA